GCCGTCTTGGTGGGCCCCTGGCCCGTCCGACGCCGTCGGAAGCCGTTGGGGGGGCCTCTTTGAGCCGACTTGGGGCCCTCTTGGAATGTCCCAGGGCCGTCTTGGAGGCCATCTTGGGCGTCTTAAAAGCCTCCTGGGCCGTCTTGGGGGCCTCTTGTGGCCGTCTCGGGGGCCTCTTGGGCCGTTTCGGGGCCATCTTGGAGGCCTCTTGGGCGATCCTTGGCGATCTTTGGGGGCTCGTGGGCCGTATCGGGCCGTCGGAAGGCCGAAACGATGTCAACATTCTTCGAACACCTAGGGAACATACATGTCTTTTACCTTTTCTGGCCTTCCTGGAGGCCCTCTTGGAGGTCTCCTGGGCCGTCTTGGGCCAGCTTCGAGCCAATTTCGGCCATCGTGGTGGGCTCCTGGCCCGTCTGACGCCGTCGGAAGCCGTTAGGGGGGCCTTTCTGGGCCGAGTTGGTGTCCTCTTGGGGTGCTCCAGGGCCGTCTTAGAGGCCATCTTGGGCGTCTTGGAGGCCTCTTGGGTCGTCTTTGTGCCCTCTTGGGGCCGTCCGGGGGGCCTCTCGGGCAGTCCTGAGGCCATCTTGGAGGCCTCTTGGGCGCTGTGGGGGCGATCTTGGGGGCCTCTTGGGCCGTCTTGGGTCGTCGGAATGCCGAGAAGAAGCGAGTGCACAACTCCTTCAAAAACCTAAGGAACATCAATGAATTTGGCCTCTTCGGGCCCTCCTGGAGGACCTCTTGGAGGCCTCTTGGGCCGTCTTGGAGGCCTCTGGGGGGCCTCTTGGGCCGTCTTTGGCCGTCTTGGACTCTCTTGGGCCGTGTGGGAGGCCGTCTTGGACAATTTCGGGCGGACTTAGAGGCCATCTTGGTCGTCTTGGAGGCCATCTTGGGCCAACATGGTCATCTTGGAGATCATCTTGGGTCATTTTGAGTGAACAATTTGGAGAATTGGGGGCCTTTCGGGTGGCCGGCGGGACGGGCCGAACCCCCCGGGGGGAGTTCTTTTGGAAAAAGGACCAACACCAAAACCGCAATAGTTTGGCACGCCAGGCACCTCTGCGATAAATCGACTGGGGGCGGCGGATCCAATGGCCTTCGGCCCGTCCCCCGTGCCTGGATCGCGGGTCAGAGTTCTCAGGGACGCTTCTTGGCGTCTCGGAGCGCTCTCGGGGGCTTCTTGGAGGCAGTTTTGGAGCCTGTTTGTGAGCCTTTTGGTGGCCTCTTGAGGCCTCGTGGGGGCCTTTCGGGGCCTCGTGGGGAACCCCTGGGGGCCTCTTGGGGCTTCCTGGGGGCCCCTGGGGGCCGAGGGCTCGAAATGTCTGTGTCCGTTCGCATCCCCCATCTGGGCCTTCTCTTGGAGCCATATTTGAAGCCTCTTTGGCCGTCTTGGGCGCCTCTTGGGCCGTCTCGGGACCCTCTTGGGCCGTTTTGGGGCCCTCTTGGGGCCTCTTGGGCCGTCCTGGGGCGATCTTGGTGGCCTCTAAGGCCGTCTGGGAGCGTCGGGAAGCCGAAAAGGCGGGAACGCCAAAAACCTTCAATCGTTTAGGAAAATCAATGAGTTTGGCCTCTTTGGGCCAAAGAGGCCTCTTGGCACAATGGGGGAATTCCTCAGTCCGGTCCCCGGTCCGGTCCCCGGTCCCGGTCCCCGGTCCCCGGTCCCCGGTCCCCGGTCCCCGGTCCCCGGTCCCCGGTCCCCGGTCCCCGGTCCCCGGTCCCCGGTCCCCGGTCGCCGGGTGCCGGTCCCCGGTCCCCGGTCCCTGGTCCCCGGTCCCCGGTCCCTGGTCCCTGGTCCCTGGCCCTCGGTCCCCAGTCCGCTGTCTCTTCCCCCCTCCTTGCTGCCTGCCTGCCTCCCTCCTCCCTGCACCCTCCCCGCATAATGGTGGAAAACAGCTGCCCGCTGCTCTTCGTCGTTGTGTTTCTGTGTTTCTTGGCGACTGAGACAAAGAGGGACGCAGAGAAAGAGAGAGAAAGAAATTCTTGACGCTTCGCGTATCCCCACCAGCCCATCCAGAATTGATTGCCAGTTTTCTTGAAGCCTCTTGGAGGCTATCTTGAGCCATGCTCGGCTAGAGACTGTCGGAGGCTATATTGAGCCATGCTCGGCCATGTTGGGCCATAGTGAGGCTGCCTTGAGGCCTCTTGGAGGTCTGTCGGAAGCTATCTTGAGCCATGCTTGGCTATCCTAGGCCATTTTGAAGGCCATCTTGGGCTCTCTTGGAGCCATCTTGGGCCAAAAAGGGCGGGGTGGAGGGTCTTTGGGAGAGGCTGGGAGGCCTCTTGGGGTCATCTTGGGCCCCATGGCTCGAAAAGAGGAGGTCCCTTAATTAGCATCGCCCCCTCGGAGGCTCTCAAACGGCGTCTTGGGGCCGTCTTGGAGCGCTCTTGGGCGCCTCTTGGGCGATCTTGGAGCCGTCTTGGGCCTTCTTGAGCCCCTCTTGGGGCTCTTTTGGGCCATCTTGGGGCCATCTTGAGGCTTCCAAAGCCCATCGGAAGCGAAAAGGCGAGAATGCCAAACACATTGGTTTTCCCTAGGCTTTTTAAGGGTTTTGGCATCTTGGAGGGCGCCGTGGAGGGCTCGAAGGGCACTTGGATCCGTCTTGGGGCTGTCTTGGGGCCTCTTGGTGGTATGTCGGAGGCTATCTTGACCCATCTTGAGGTATCTTGGGCCATCTTGGAGGCCATTTTGCGACTTGGAGCGCCTCTTGGAGCCATCTTGAGCCATCTTGGACGCTCTAACGCCTCCAGCCCCCCCCCTCCAGGTCCAGGGGAGGGGGTAGGGGGAGGGGTAAACCCCTCCCCCGAGCAGGGGAAGGAGGGGGAAGAGAGAAGAACAAACTCGCTATACCACCGTAGCCCTAAAGGGCTGGTGGTACTAAGAAGAGAGAGAGAGAGAGAGAGAGAGAGAGAGAGAGAGAGAGAGAGAGAGAGAGAGAGAGAGACAGAGAGAGAGTCCCCGAAATCCCGACCCTCTCCGCGGGGCCGGCCTTTCCATCACGAATCGCACTCTGACGGTTCCAGCGCCGTCGTAGGAGGAGGAGGAGGAGGAGGAGGAGGAGGAGGAGGAGGAGGAGGAGGAGGAGGAGGAGGACGGACGGACGGACGGACGGACGGACGGAGCAGGAGGGGGAGTCCGATGCAGCGCCCAGAGCAGCGCTCACTGACCGTGGCCGTTGTGGTCCGAGGCAACCCAAACTGTCGAGGCGAGGCCTGTTTGCCAGGCGCCCGCCTGACATCTCCAAGTTCATGGTGGGAGCGTGCAAGCATGACGGCTGTCGCTGGGGCAAGGACGGCGGAGCTACGCTCACAGCGGCTACAATCTGCACGTTGTGCAACACGCTGCTGCTCGGAGTGTTGCCCGCAGAGCCCAAACGCCGAGCCGTCGTGAGGTTGCTGCGTGGCCTGCCAGCCGCTGCGCAGGACCGGGGGCCGTCGGAAAACCCACACCCACAACAATACCCATATTCATTGTGCACCAAGAACCATGCCGAAATACATAGCAGAACGATGCCCACCTGCATCAACATAGTTATAGCAGCATACACCACCGTGCACACACCACCACCACCACCACCACGCCATCTACAATAGCCACAACCCGAAGCAAACACAAACAATATTTTGTCCACCGCCACGAGCATGCAAAACTCGCTCTCGCATGTACGGATGGCCATTGGCACATGCACATACACCTCTGTGCGCATGCGCGCCAGCCCCGGCACCAAAGACAGAGCCAGATTCAACATCGGAGTCTCGAGCGTTGCCATTCCCAGGCCACGCACATCCCCAAACTTGGAACAACGTCCCGCCCTGATCCAGGAGACGTGGTTCGCCAAGGCGAGCCCAGAGTTGGCCGCCACCGCGCGCGCGGCCGTGGCCCCGGCGAGCGCGGAGAAGACCAGGCCCGCGGAGCGCGGGACAGGGTGCCAGCTGAGCAAGACCGACACCAAGGGCGACAACGACCATAGTGCGCCGGGAGGCGAGGGCGCGCCGAAGGAGACGCCGGAGGGCCACAGTGGCAGCTGGTGGCGCGGTGGTGGATGGGCCCCGCAGTCCACCGCCACGCGGCCCAGGGGGCCCGCGCAAAACGCGCAGGAGGACCAGCGCAGCAAGGGCGACAGCTCGGGCGGCAGCTGGTGGCGCGGCGGCTGGAACGCCGCGTGGTCGAACACCTCGCGGTCGGGCGCCGAGTGGGGCCAGGCGTGGGCGGGCGGCGCGCCCCGCGGACAAATGCGCGCGATCGCATTTTCCGGGGCACCTCGGGCGGCGCGCGGAGAGAAGAGAAGAGCACGGCCAGTTCCCCCCGCGGTCTGCTTGGGGGAGACAGGGGGTGAATGTCTAAGAAAGTTCTTTCTGCGCGATGCCGGAGGTGCCCCTGGGATGCGCATTTTCGCCGCGGAACCTGCGCTGTCCGACGCAGGGGTGGCAGGAGTGGCAGTCCTCGGCGCAGACGCAGGGGGCCTGGAAGAAGCGCAATCACTGGGGCTGGCAGGGGGAGGAGGGCGCGGACTGGAAGCGGCAGAAGTACTGGGAGAAGGAGCCCGACGCAAAGGAGCGAGGCCGCGAGCAGATGTCGGGGAACCGACCGGAAGAGCAGGGGTGGCAAACGGCCGGAGACCGGGGGCTGGGCCAGACGGAGCGCGGCCGCGAGCAGAAACTGGAGCAGAACGTGCAGGAGGTGCAGCGACAGACGGACGCGGAGCAGGGGCGCAAGCAAGAGGACCGCGGCCCCCAGCAGGACTCGGCAGACATGGAGAAGAACGAGGGCCAAACGGACGCCGTCGAGAAGGGGGGGAAGAAGCGGGACCCGTACGACCACGTGTCAGGTCGCATTGCGTAAACCCAAAGGTGACCATCGCGGAAGGTTGCGCGCGTTCAGGCTGGCGCTGGGCCCGCCCTCGCTCTGCCCGAACGCGCTCCTTCCTAGCGTGACGCCCATGGTTTGCGCCGTGCAAGGCGACGCTCTCCAGGAGACCCAGGAGGAGGCCGACTTCAACGCCGAGATGCGGTCGTGGCTCGACGAGACGGCATGGGGGCAGAGCAAGACCCCGAAGAACGGGCATCTCGTCTGGTTTCACATCGACTTGCAGGAGTCGTTCTGGCAGAAACCCACCCCTGCAGAGCTCGCCGAGCAGAAGACGAAGGACGAAATCGTCGTGAAGGCGGCGAAAATCTTTCTCCGGGGAGGGGGTGCGCATGGAGCGGCCATGGCGGGGCGCGTCGGCATGAGCGAGCAGGAGGTGAAGGGCCGGTACGCTGTTCTGCAGGCGGCGGCGAAGCGCAGGGAGCAGAGGCAGGGCCATCGGCGTCAGAAGTTGCTCGGGATCTGACCCGCGCGCACGTGAGACGGCCGGAGTGGCTGCGGGAGGCGGGGCGCTCGTCGGGGGAGGAGGAAGATGAGGAGGAGGAGAATGAGGAGGAGGAGGAGGAGGAGGAGGAGGAGGAGGAGGAGGAGGAGGAGGAGGGGGAGGAGGAGGATGGAGGAGAAGAGGAGGCGTAGGCGGGAGAGGTGGGCGAGGTAGGCGAGGGCGGGAACGGGAAGGCAGGATGAGGAGGATCATTATGCGCAGGAGGGGGCGGATACGGAAGAGGGGGTGGAGAAAAGGCGGAGGAGGCGGGGGCCGTCAGGGATGATGAGCACGAGGGGCAGGCGGTAAGTGCAGCTGATGCACGACGTGATTGTTTATTATGTTTTCGCCGCGCCTTTCACGGGCGTGCGCGGGGGGGGGCAGTCTCCGCGGCCCGCGGCCAAAAGCATTGGCATCCTTCCTTCCCCCTCCTCCTCCCTCCGTTCCCACCCACCCCGCCGGAGAACGCAGCAGAAACAGCGAGGGCGTATCTGGGGTTCCCCGGGGATGCCCATGAGGTACCCGGGGGCGGAAACTTCTGGAAGCCCCAGCCGCCTTTCGATAGCTAAAAAAACGTTTCCCGGCCGACCCCGCGCCAGGCCTTCTGTCGACGCGGAAAATGTATGAACGCCATCTGGGGAAACAGATGATCCGAAGTTTCCGGACACCCTTCGTCCTGGAATCGAACAAAAACCGGCGCTAACGACGAATATGTTTCTTTTTTCCGGCGCTCTGGGCCCCCGGGGGCGCGCAAGGGGCCTAACGGCGCAGAATGGCGCAAAATCGATGGCACGTGCAATACAAATCGCAAGGGAAATGCGCCAGAGGCTTCTTGGAATCCCCTCGCGGTAGGAAGGCGTGCAAAAACCGGCCATTATCGACCAAAATCTTCGGCCGTGGCCGTAACCACACCCAGACCCAACCCCAGAAAGACAAGCAGAGCCAGAGCCAGAACCATAGCCAAAACCAGAGCCAGAGCCGGCCCCAGAGCCAGAACCAGAAGCAGAACCAGAGCCTGAACCAAAGCCAGACCCAGAACCAGAGCCAGAAGCAAAGCCAGAACCAGAACCAGAGCCAGAGCCCGAACCAGATCCAGAGCCAAAGCCCGAACCAAAGCGAGAACCACAGCGATAATCAACGCCAGAGCCAAAGCCAGAACCGGAACCAGAGCCAAAACTAGAAGCGGCACCAGAGCCAGAACCAGTGCCAGAACAAGAACCATAGCCAGAGCCAAAACCAAACCCAGAACCAGAGGCAGAGCCAGAACCAGAGCCATAACCAGAACCAACACCATCAAGACCAGAGTCAGAACCCGAGCCGGAGCCAGAACAGAACCTGACCCAGAGCCAGAACTAGAGCCTGAACCAGAGCCGGCCCCAGAGCCCGAAACAAAGCCATAACGAGAACCATAGCCAGAACCAGAACAGAAACCAGAGCGTGAACCAGAGCCAGATCCAGAAGCAGAACAGGAACCATAGCCAGAACCAGAACGAGAGCCAGAGCCAGAACCAGAACCAGAGCCAGAGCCAGAGCCAGAACCAGAGGCAGAGCCAGAGCCCGAACCAGAACCATAGCCAGAACCAGAACCACAACCAAAGCCAGATCCAGAAGCAGAACCGGAACCAGAGCCAAAACCATAACGAGAGCCAGAGCCAGAGCCAGAACCAGAGCCAGAGCCAGAGCCAGAACCAGAACCAGAGCCACAGCCAGAACCAGAACCAGAACCAGAGCCAGAGCCAGAACCAGAACCAGAGCCAGAGCCAGAACCAGAACCAGAGCCAGAGCCAGAGCCAAAGCCAAACCCAGAACCATGGGCAGAGCCAGAGCCGAGCCGGCCCCAGAGCCAGAACCAGAGCCAGAACCAGAATCAGAGCCAGAACCAAAACCAGACCCGGAACCAGAACCAGAGGGCCCTCTTGGAGGCCATCGTGGCCGTCTGGAGGCTGAAAAGAACGCCGGGGAGCAATTTCAGGGGGGCCAGTCTGCGATGGGTGCGCGCGAGGGGGAGGGGGGGGGCGGCCCTAGAAAAATAGAAACTTTCCCAAAAATGGACCAGATGAGCATTCTAACGCGCCCACTCCGTGCAGGCACGGTGGCGGATTTCGGACGCCTTTGAGGCAGTCTTGGGGCTCTCGTGGAGCATTGTTCAGCGTTTCGGAGGCTGCGTTGGGGACATAGGAGACCATCTAGGCAGCCAACAAGGCAGCCGAAGAGGCAGCCTCCAAGAAATTGTTGACGCTTCGCGCATCCCCACCAGCCCATCCAGAAACGCTGCCCAGGGGAGTTGAAGTGATGAGGCGACCTTGGAGCGCCTTTGGGAGTTTTCGAGGCGCTCTTGGGGCCATCTTGGAGGACATCGATCAAAGAAGGGGATGGTCGCAATTCGCCCTGCCCCTCGGGAGTCCCAAGAATCCCCTCCTGGACCCCTCTTGGGGCGATCTTGGAGCGCTTTTGGGCTCTCTTGGGACAGTATTGGGGCTCTCTTGGGCCTCTCTTGGGGCCCTCATGGGCCCTTTTCGAGCTGACTTGAGGCCTCGGAAGGCCATCGGAAGCGAAAAAGCGAGAAAGCAACAAACATTGATTTCTGTGGGTTTTGTAAAGATTGGGGAGCTTTTTGGCAACTAAGGACCGTCTTGGGGTGGTCTTGGGGCCTCTTGAAACATCTTGGAAGCCATATTGAGTTTTTTTTGCGCTCTGTTGAGCTATCTTGGAGGCCATCTTGGACTCTCTGAGGCCCTTTTGGAGCCGTCTTGGGCTATCTTGGACGCCCCAACGCGTCGCGGAACGCCTCGTCCAGGTGCAGGGGGAGGGGGTAGGGGGAGGGGTACACCCTTCCCCGATGGGGAAAAAGGGGGTTGGAAGAGGAAACTCCTTAGACCACCTACGCCCAGAGGGCTGGTGGGACTACTCCACAGGTCGCCAGATGTCATTGGAGGAATAAAGAGGTCCTCCTCCTCTTGGTGCTGCTCCTCCTCCTTCTCCTTCCCCGCTCTAGTCTGCGTAAGCATTTTGGCTCGAGCCGTCTTTCGCTCGCGTCTGGCGGACGCTACTTCGCTGTCCTGCATGCTGCCCGTGCGGCCATTATGGTCTCCACGCCAGTCGTCGACTTCCCTTTCTTCACCGCTTCGCCCGGCGGCGCAGCAACCACTCCTCGCGCCGCCTGGGACAGGAGGCGGTCGTGAACACGGTGGCCGCTGCACTGTGGACGCTGGCGCGGCGCCAGTGCGACCGTTGTGGCGAGCAGCGGACCTGCGGGCGCACCGCCAACCGTCCGCCAGTGCTCCTCCGCCGCCGGTGCGGCCGTTGTGGAAGGCTTGCGTTGCAGTTGCGCGCCCGGGGCCTGGGCCCCAGGCCATGGAGGCGCTTGCCGGCGCAGACGACGCCGTGCGTAGTTCCGCCGCGGCAGCCGCATCCTGCAGGGGCTCCGGCGCCAGTGGCGCTGCGGCGGCGCATCCGCGGTCTTGCTCTGCTACGCGCCCAGGGTCCGGCCCGCGGGCCATGGGCGCGCCCGCAAGCTCACGCGACGCCGTGCCTGGTTCTGCCCCGGCAGCCGCATCCAGCGGGGGTTCCAGTGCTGCAGGCGCCAGGGCGGCGCTCCTGCCAGAGCTCACGACGACCTGGTCATGCTGCCCTGTTTGTTCGGGCCCGTTGGTCCCTGTGCCGCAAAGGAGCCCGGTGAAATGCTTAGTTGTGGCGGAACCGCGGTGTCTTGTAATGCGTCACTACGCCAAACAATGCAAACGCAGTTGCGACAAGGGGCACATGTATAAGTACTGGCGTGGGTACGTTGAGTCCCCTTCTGGGAATGGCCAGGGCGGTTTCACGAAGAGGGTGGATACCGGTTGTCCTGCGTCAGAGATCTTCATGCTCAACAAGTCTTTCGGCGTGCATGATCAGTGGGCGCAGCGGTGGGCCTGCCGTTTGTACGCGCACAGGGCGTCCTTCCTTGGAGAGGCCCAGATCTTGCGGGCGTTGAAACCAGAAGTCGCCACGGAGACTCTGGAGCAATCGCTGGAATCCGCATGGGTGCGGCACCAGATGTGGCAGAGATCTTTGGAGCGCGAGGGCGCTCGCGCTGCCCTGGCAAGCTCTTTGTTGGAATTGCCTCTGGAGAGCTTCCTGCAGAGTTGCGCATCCTGGCACCGCCCTCTCATGAAGGAGCGCCGCCTCCGCGCGTGGCGGGCCAGCGGAGACAGGATGGACATCGTCTGCGTCGACGGCAACGCCAAGCTGTACCGGCGATCGTGCGGCGCGCCGTGCGCCGAGGCCGTTTACCACGACGCCCTGGACTTGCACTTGGTGCGTGGTTGCCCAGAGTCGCCTTTGCAGAAAGGAGTGCTTTGCCGGCGTCACCAGGAGCTCGCCGACCGCCCTGCCCTCGCTGGAGAAATCGAAGCGCACCGCGTGCGGGCGCCCCTGTCCGCCATGGCTTACCTTGACGTTGAAGTGCGAATGACGGGCTTCGCTAATTGGCAGCCCGCGTGCACGGTCCCCGACTCGACCGTGCAAGCGCATTTCGCTAAGAATGCAGAACAGGTCATTCAAGAGCGCAAACGCCGTCGTCAAGAGCGCAGGGAGTCGCGCCGACAACCGCTTCGCTTGGTCTTAGGCGACTGGGCTTCCGGATACGCTAAAGACAAGTGCTCGTGCAAGACGCACAAGGAGTCTGTCTCGGCCATCCGCGCGGCAGAACGGTCGGCCAGCTTCCTTGCCGCAGTCTCAGAGAGCGGGATTGTCGGTGCTCTTGAAGAAGTGATTACTGCTGAGACGCTTTCCCAGCGCTATTGCTTTTTGGCAGACGTGGCAAGTGCCGTCCCGGAGCTCAAGACGCTCGTGCACGACGACGCGTGCCGCGTGCGTTTATTCGCCAAGGGCAGGGCGGAGGGCGCAGCGCCCGGCAGCCTGGCCGTTCGCCTGGGCCAGTTTCGGTACGTCGTCGACCGACCCCGCAGCAAAGGGCACGTCGATGCCACGTGCAAGGC